ATTTTTTCAATTATTTTATACATATACACATATATATACACTTATTATGTAGATTACTTCAAATGGTAGTTTAGTATATACCTAAACCTTCGTCCTCCGGGGGGGGGGCAGCGGAAAGTTTACGGACTTATAACGCAAAAAACCGGCGTTTGATTTCCCGAGGTGGACATAGCACAGACAGTGTACTTTTGTACTAAGAAAACAACAGCTTACATCTCCTAAACTGGCCTAGCCTCGTGAGATATTCAGATTATGGCTGAAAATATCGTAACAGAGGGTACCCAGATGATGAATTAATGCATTCTGATTATTATAATCCAGGTTATGACCTTGCGTGCACCTAATTATAGTAGTATATTAAATTGGCTATATTAATTAGTGAATGCATTTCCAATTCTCATCTATGTAGGGGGGCGTAATCATAAATGGATGGAACTCAGTAAATGTTTATTTCAATATGTAGTTTAACTGTCTTTACCGTTGTAAAATAAACAAAAATGGGATACTTATGAATTCCCTTTGGTTTTGAGTGTCAAAGTCAATGTGTTACTAACCTATGAACCTGCAAAGTCAGTACAGCTGTTTGAGGAATGAGACTTGTGTACACGTGACTTTTGCAGTTTTTCCATGCAGAGATACTTCGCTATCATGGTGCGTAATGTTGTCTGGGACACAAACAATGGATGTTTTAGAAGCTTACCTTTTTAGTGTGTATTTAAGAATTATGGGAACTATTTGGTTTATAAACCAATAACATCACTTGTTTGAACTCTTTCAATTCCCTTTACCTTGAGCTCTGTAGATTTTCTGAAAGTAAATATTCCAAATTTAGAACCCCAGTGCTTAAACCGAACGTAATACCCGCGCCTCAAAAAAATAAATAAATAAATAAATAAATAAAAACATAAAAGAAAGAAAGAAAAAGAAAGTTAAATAGATTTTCTTTAAATACAGAAATGTTTGCAGTGGATGTCGGCAAGGACCTAAATGGCTCTTATTATATGTGAGGGAACATCTGTACAAACATTTTATATTATAATTTAGTATGTCTAAGGGTGACCACTAGCGTGTGAGTACCTATATATATATATGTTAATCAGAGTGTATTATATTTTTTAATCATTCTAAAAATATTTATAGAAAAATATGTTTATTAACACACTTTGGCTCATATGTTGATAGAGAAATACATTTACGTCATATTGCATTATAGAAGCCCATGCAACAAAATTGTTAGCAAGACATGAGTATGGATTGCATGTGAATTACATTATAGTCTTTTATGACAAACTTCAGTTCCATTTAATCCAACTAGAATTCGAATGAGTCTATAGTATTTTCATTTAATTTGTTGCATCTTTCATCAACAGAATAACAGTCCTTATCAGCTGCATCTTTCACCAACAGAATCACATTCCTTATCAGCATCTTTCATCAACAGAATCAGAGTCATTGTCAGCTGCATCTTTCATCAACAGAATCACAGTCCTTGTCAGTTGCATCTTTCATCAATAGAATCACAGTCCTTGTCAGCTGCATCTTTCATCAACAGAATCACAAAAGATGCAGCTGATAAGGACCATCAATAGAATCACAGTCCTTATCAGATGCATCTTTCATCAATATAATCACAGTCCTTGTCAGCTGCATCTTTCATCAACAGAATCACAGTCCTTATCAGCTGCATCTTTCATAAACAGAATCACATTCCTTGTCGGCTGCATCTTTCAAGAACAGAATCACAGTCCTTGTCAGCTGCATCTTTCACCAACAGAATCACAGTCCTTGTCAGCTGCATCTTTCATCAATATAATCACAGTCCTTGTCAGCTGCATCTTTCATCAATAGAAGCACAGTCCTTGTCAGCTGCAACTTTCATCAACAGAATCACAGTCCTTATCAGCTGCATCTTTCATCAACAGAATCACAGTCCTTGTCAGTTGCATCTTTCATCAATAGAATCACAGTCCTTGTCAGCTGCATCTTTCACCAACAGAATCACAGTCCTTGTCAGCTGCATCTTTCATCAACAGAATCACAGTCCTTATCAGCTGCATCTTTCAAGAACAGAATCACAGTCCTTGTCACCTGCATCTTTCATCAATAGAATTACAGTCCTTATCAGCTGCATCTAGTAAATAATATTTGTCAGGTTTTGGAAGGGGCAGGGATATATCTTGGTGACGGTGGTAGAATAGGTACAAGAAAACACATACATGAGTACTGCTTCTATAAATCCTTGGTCCTAACAACTAACCAAGAGAACAACTTAGGAGGTCCACTTATGAAGTTTCGGGGAATCAAGTCCTCCCTGGAGCAGACACTTGACACAGAATTAGATCTCCATATTACAACATTTCCTACAAGTATTAGTTCTGGATTCCACAGAAAGTCGTACTAAAACACATCATGTCATTTTACATACTCCACAGATAGTCGTACTAAAACACATCATGTCGTTTTACATACTCCACTAATAGTCGTACTAAAACACATCATGTCATTTTACATACTCCACAGATAGTCGTACTAAAACACATCATGTCATTTTACATACTCCACAGATAGTCGTACTAAAACACATCATGTCGTTTTACATACTCCACTAATAGTCGTACTAAAACACATCATGTCATTTTACATACTCCACAGATAGTCGTACTAAAACACATCATGTCGTTTTACATACTCTACAGATAGTCGTACTAAAACACATCATGTCGTTTTACATACTCCACAGATAGTCGTACTAAAACACACCTTGTCGTTTTACATACTCCACAGAGAGTCGTACTAAAACACACCATGTCGTTTTCCATATTCCACAGAGAGTCGTACTAAAACACACCATGTCGTTTTACATACACCACAGATAGTCGTACTAAAACACATCATGTCGTTTTCCATATTCCACAGAGAGTCGTACTAAAACACATCATCTTATTAATGTAAAATCGCAGTAAAAAACAATTTATCTTATTGGTGTAAGATAGCCATAAGTAAAAACTTCTGTTATTAGTTTAAGATATCCAAAAGTAACAATATAACTTATTAATGTAAAATCGCAGTAAAAAACAATTTATCTTATTCGTGTAAGATAGCCATAAGTAACAACTTCTGTTATTAATTTAAGATATCCAAAAGTAACAATATAACTTATTAATGTAAAATCGCAGGAAAAACAATTTATCTTATTCGTGTAAGATAGCCATAAGTTAGAACTTCTGTTATTAGTTTAAGATATCCAAAAGTAACAATATAACTTATTAATGTAAAATTTCAGTATCAATTTATCTTGTTGAGTAAAATCTCATGCTATATTATTAATCTAAGAAAACGACTTATATTGTTACTTTTGGATATCTTAAACTAATAACAGAAGTGTTTACTTATGGCTATCTTACACCAATAACAGAAGTTGTTACTTATGGCTATCTTACACCAATAAGATAAATTGTTTTTTACTGCAATTTTACATTAATAAGTTATATTGTTACTTTTGGATATCTTAAACTAATAACATAAGTTTTTACTTATGGCTATCTTACCCCAATAAGATAAATTGTTACTTGTGGCTTACTTTTATTATAGCAAAGTTACATTGGGTTATCTGCCGTGTCCATCGCGGAGAATCGAGCCCGGATTTTGGCGTTGCGAATCTGTAGACTTACTGCTGTCCCACCGGAGGATGTTAATTATGGAGATCGTAGTTATTTTGTGCAAATTATAATTGAGAAAAATCAAGCAGAAACAGTTTCCATATACACACATTTCTCGTGATTCTCATGAATCAGCTAATTTAAATATTTAGATGTGTCACAGGCGGAGACAAACACGAGAATTAAGAAGAACATTGAACAAAAGGTATTTATAAAAACAACTACCCCCCTAGTGGAACAGTGGTATGTCTGCGAACTTACAAAGCTAGAATCCGGGTTTCGATACCCGTGGTGGGCAAAGCACAGATAGCGAATTTTTTTAAAGTAGTACTTGTAAGATAAAAATGGAAAAGTGAGAAAAGTAAATCTTTAAATATAAATTTAGAAATCTAATCGTAGTTTATCCTAAAAAAAAAAGAAATAAATTTATAACAAATGTGTTCCTTTTATCTGATGACGTTATAACAGAACAAAACTTGTTGAACAACAAACATGTTTCTTAGCAACTGTAGTTAGGTAAGAAGTTAGTTGATCATGACATCATCTTTACTCAGCAATGGAAGGTAAATTAGTATACTGTAAACGTATTACTTAACATTTCTGGTCTTGGTAATGGATAAGGATTTAGTTCACCGTGACAAATTTCATTACTAAACGCTGTTATCAACATGATGAAGACTATGAGTATAATCCGTATCCACTGTTGTCTCTGTACTGGTTTATTATTAATAGACTATGATTGTCTTTCTTAACATGAGACGTGTTTGCACTCGATAAAAGTTCGTTAGTCAGTTTCTATCTTCCTTACTGATTATAATTGATTAATTAATAAAAATTATAGTAGCTGTTATACCGACTATCATTGGATAAGGATTTACTAAACATCGAACATACACTTAAAATATTTTCTACAAAAACAAATCTACGATAATTTCCCAGAGACTCTAGCATATTTTTCATCTTCTATTAGTTTCCCTCGCTTCCTTGTCTGTTATTTACTCTTCAAGCTGATTTCCCCTACAAGCTGATTTACTATTTTCTTGAAATCATATCTCCTTGTACATTAGGGTCTATTATCTGCTTTACATAAATTTCCCCTTAAAATTTGGTCTATTATTTGCTTTGCATAATTTTCCCCTTAAATTATGGTCTATTATCTGCTTCACATAAATTTCCCCTTAAAATCTGGTCTAATATTTGCTTTGCATAAATTTCCCCTTAAATTCTAGTCTATTGTTTGTTTCTCATAAATTTCCCCTTAAATTCTGGTCCATTTTTTGCTTTTCATAAATTTCCCCTTAAATTCTAGTTTATTATTTACTTTTCATACATTTCCCCTTAAATTTTGGTCTATTATTTGCTTTACATAAATTTATCCTTAAATTCTGGTCTATCATTTATTTCCCATAAATTTCCCCTTAAATTCTGGTCTATTGCTTGTTTCTCATAAATTTCCCCTTAAGTTCTGTCTTTTTTCATTTATACTTTAATATTGTATACTGTTTTTTGCTATTCATAAATAATTCCTAAATTCATTTTAAATCCTATTAGTTTATTGGCTGCTTTTCATAGTTTGAAGGTTTACAACGCTAAAAACCGGGTTTCAGTACCCATGGTGGGCATAGCACAGACATTCCATTGAGTGGCTTTGCGCTTAACAACAAATAACCAAAAATATAAAAAAGCTTTTCCTAAGATTTATTTTAAATTAAAATATACTATTTGCTTTTACCAATTTTTCCTTAACTTGTGCCCTGTTTTTATAGCCTTCAATAAAATACTCTTAATCGTATGAATTTCTTCAATAATCAGTAAAATACAAACGAATAACACCAGAGCAATATTTAATATTAAATTAAGACATAAGTCGTTCCTTGAGTTGAAAATCCAATAAAACATCAGATAGAGAACTGGAATAAGTACTAACATGCACTTAAAACATGTTAAGTACATTTTGTCTTAATTTTAACTATCAAAAGCAATACCAATATATATATATATATATAACATTTAAAGTTGAAGGTTGTGTCAATATGCATAATGAACCATAAAATGAGCTTTGAAATGAATTTCCGATTGGAGGTCAGTGTTTTAGACCAGACCTTACAAGCAACAGCTTGCATACAAAAGGGTGTGGAAATATACAGAGGTATATTATTGTAATACGGGACGGGGGGGGGGGGAATTCGGTAGTAACAGTTCCAACAAATCTACACTACCGGTGGATGGTCGAACCAGTCTACGTTTATAAATCATGTTACCGCACGCTAGGTAAACCAGTTATTAATTCTAACATTTCTTTTAGACGTCATTAAAAGTTCATTTCAAATTGTTACGGACCAATGATTATCAGAAAGAAGCTACTTTGACGTGATACAAACTTTTAGCTGACAGCTCTCGCGTATGCTACCTATAATAAAATCAAAGAAACAAGTTTGGGTAAAGGACTACTGCCTCGGCAGATTTGGCACAACATTTTACGCGTTTTTCTCCAATTTCTGGGGATTTCCCGGCCCCATTAATTTTACTACCATGTACGATAATAGTCTCGATCATCCCCATTATTTCAGATTTAGATAATGCAGTTTTTGTCGCATAAATTCTGTTCAGTCCTCCCAAGATATTGAAAACCGTGGTTCACATGTAAGACAGAATTTTGTAAATATTCGTGTGAATTTATTTGGATTAAGCAATAAAATCAAACAAAGAAGTGGTTACTATATATGATAGTGAATAGCAACTAAAATAAACGAATGTGCCACTGGATGAACTGACTGATGTTGTGATTGTTTCGTTTGGTTCTCCTCTGGATACAGAATAAATATATTCATGCCAGTCTCCAGTTTTAGCGAAATTAATGATAAAGTCCAACAAACATTATAGTAACGAAACAGAAGTAGAAAGCCATAGGTTACTTCTCGCCAGTTTCTGATAAAGTCCAACAAACATTATAGTAACGAAACAGAAGTAGAAAGCCATAGGTTACTTCTCGCCAGTTTCTGATAAAGTCCAACAAACATTATAGTAACGAAACAGAAAAGAAAAGCTACAGCTTATTCCTCAACAGTTTATGATAAAGTCCAGTAAGCATTATAGTTACGAAACAGAAATGGAAAGCTACAGGTATTCTCCGGGTTCTAGTAAAATCCATCAAACATTACAGTTACGAAACGGAAGTGGTAAACTATTCAAGATGGAGCGAATTCACACGTGATTTCTGTAAACATAAAATGTAATATTTACGTGCAGGTCTTCCTTACACCTCCTCTCCTCTTCCACAGACATACGTTTTTCATGCTTCTTGAAGTACTTCCGCTTGGTAGCTTGCAGATTAAACCACATGTAGGAGAATGTTTTAACATGAGGCAGGAGAGCCTCAATAAACGGATGGAATTCATCCTGTACAACAACAACAAAATAAATAAATAAACAAAACTGAAACTTAAAGAATAATCATAAATAATGTTGCATGCTTATGAAATTGAAACATTTGTTTTTCTAAGTTCAAAGTGATACTTACAACTGACAACAGATTATATTATAAAAATGTTTTTACCATTAAATGTACCTTTAATCATTATTGTATGCTTTAGTGCACGGAAAACTAAATTTCAATTTTCTTTCTCATATTTCTTATTTTGGAAGTCTAGTGAACATATGATGGAACATATATTAAGTAATTCTGGTTCACTGTAAAATTAAATATAGTAATTAACGTTTTCTACATTTATCTGCTAAGTCCTACCAAAAGAAAAATACGAAATTGTTAGAATATGTTGAATTACCTGTATTGTTTTAATCCTTTAACACACGTGTTAATATTACGTGGTACTTCTAACCTTTAACACACATGCTAATTGTACATGGTACCTCTAACCTTTAACACACATGCTAATGCTACGTGGTATCCCTAGCCTTTAACATACAAGTTATCTCTAACATTTAACACAATGCTAATGTTACATGGTACCTCTAACCTTTAACGCACATGTTAATGTTACATAGTACCTCTAACATTCAACACACATGGTAATTTTACATGGTACCTCTAACCTTTAACACACATGCTAATGTTACATGATACCTCTAACCTTGAACACACACATTCTAATGTTACATGGTACCCCTTACAGCACATACTACACATTTCTGAAGAGCTTTGTCTATTGTGCAGAGTTTTTGGTGACTATTTCCTTAGATTTTCCACACATATAAGTTACATCTAAGAGTTTTGTTTACAACACAGCATTAGCTAGAGTTTAACTGTTTGTTGTTAAGTGCAAAGCTACACAAAAAGGTACTAGTGCTAAGCCCACCACGAGTATCGAAACTCGATTTTTAGCGTCATAAGTCAAGCGAATTACCGCTGAGCCACTGGACAGCAAATCTAGAATTTAAAACTTTCAGTCTAAATAATGTGTATCTCAATACAGGATTCTGCATGAAATATGCCACAACTGAAAGGAATTTGTCGAACTATTCTTGACAAGGCAAGAGAGCGAAGGATAAAAAACTAGTATGTAGCTAATAATTCCAAAATCTGAGCTACCTTTTACAACTTGCAGCTAGGGGGAGTTCGAGTCCTATGGTAAGTATAATTAATTCTATCCATGCTTCGCCAGCTTTTAAAAAGCGTTCTCACCATAACTATTGTTGTTGTAACAAATGGCGTATATTAACTGTGTTCCGACCACTCCTGTGTTTGTTGTATCCCAGCCGTCCTCAAAAGCTCTGAATTTAACGAAACGTGTTGTTGGCGATGGATATGGTGAACATAGTTTGGTTGAAATACTATTTTTATAGAATATTCTCATTCTTGAGAATCTCTGATGGACTAGATAAAGAATGTAGTATTAAAAAATACAATAGGCCTAAAACTAATGGCTTATGACAAATATAATTAATAACAATCTTGCTTCGTCAGCTTCTAAAAGGCATTCACACCATAATAACTGTGAGTTTGTTACGACACCACAGCTGAAGTCAGTAATTAACAGTAAGTTTGTTATGACAGCACAACAGAAGTCAGTAAGTAAGAGTAAGCTTGTTATGACATCACAAGAGAAGTCAGTAAGTAACTATAAGTTTGTTATGACAGCACAAAGTTTTGGATTTTCGCCTATAGACAGCGGAAGAGATTGTTGTCGAATCTATTTAAGGACAGAACATGGCATGTCATTTCTTTAAGCAGTATGTTTTTGATGTTTGGAAACATCATCAATAATCATTATTAATCATGATAGACGACAGAAACCTTGACTCTAACACAAGCAGCCCCACCTACCAACGTCTTGGTAATATAACTTCTGTCAAGTGGCTTGTTGCGCCAGGGATTTTAAAAAATCCAACATTCTTATTTTGCTTTCCGGATAAAGGAAATAGAAATACCTTTTCCTTAGAATGTAGAGTAAGAGAAATGGAAATGCAGTCACTCACAATACTTCCATATTAAATAAAGTTGTAACCAGTTACAATTTTATTTGTGCAGGGAATGAAGCATGATACCTATTAAAATCCGACTAACAGTGTTTCATAATAAGAATAGACAAACAATGTTTCGTAGTAAGAATGGACTGAAGATGTTTCATAGTAAGAATGAATTAACAATATTTCATAGTAGGAATGGACGGACCATGTTTCATAGTAAGAAGAGACTGACAATGTTTCATAGTAAGAAGAGACTGACAATGTTTCATAGTAAGAATGGACTGACAATATTTCATAGTAGGAATGGATGGACAATATTTCATAGTAGGAATGAACGGACAATATTTCATAGTAAGAATGGACTGACAATGTTTCACAGTAAGAAGAGACTAAAAATGTTTCAAAGTAAGAATAGACTGACAATGTTTCATAGTAAGAATGGACTGACAATGTTTCATAGTAAGAATGGACAGACAATATTTCATAGTAGGAATGGACGGACAATGTTTCATAATACGAATGAACGGACAATATTTCATAGTAAGAATGGACTGACAATGTTTCACAGTAAGAAGAGATTAACAATGTTTCAAAGTAAGAATGGACTGACAATATTTCATAGTAAGAATGGACTGACAATGTTTCGCAGTAAGAAGAGACTAACAATGTTTCAAAGTAAGATTGGACTGACAATGTTTCATAGTAAGAATGAACTGACAAATGTTTCATAGTAAGAAGAGACTAACAATGTTTCATAATACGAATGAACTGACAATGTTTCATAGTAAAAGTAGGTTGACAGTGTTTCACAGTAATAATAGATTGACAGTGTTTCCTATTAATAATAGACTAACAATGTTTCACAATAAGAATGGACAAACAATGTTTCAAAGTTTGAATAGGCTGACAACGTTTTATATTAAGAATGGACTGACAGTGTTTCGCGTTAAAGGTTGATTGATAATGTTTCGTTTTAAGATTTGACAGAAAAACATCTAAGCCAGCTACTAACATAAAGCAGAACTAAAACTTAACATCTAGTAATAAACATATCTAATTTCGTCTACCGTTCTACTCATTTAGATTAGAATGCATTGTTTCATTAACTGGCGAGGTTAAGCAAGCTTAGGAGATCTGGGTTAGTCCTAAATACATATACTAAGCCAAGAATGAAAAATAATTCTTATAGAGTACATATATATATATATATATATATATACATAAAAGAATAGTATATTAGACATATAAAATATTTCAACAAATACTGTTAATGACATGAACATTAAAGAAAGAATACAAGTACTTACAAAACACATAAAAACTAGTTGTTGGCTTCATGCATTATCACCGATTCCATGTCCCTTGAAAAGCGTGACTTGTACACGAAAAACTTTATATAATCTACCCTAACAACGTCTAGTAGCCAACGAAAGCCCATTAAACGACTCAGACAGTGTAACTTGAGAGTAACTTAACATCTGAGATAAATTACTAAGACACATGCTAACCTTTTGTCAACAATAGAGTGAAGTAGTACAGCAAAACAACAACAAAAACTGATGTTTATTAAGTAAAAATTAAAAATAAAATGACGTAAATAACAAATTAAACGACTAACAGCATCGTAAAGTAAATAATAAAATATTAACACTTCTCATAAGATAAACAAATTGAATATAATAAAAAGAAAAATAATTTGTTTAACCTAGCATGAAATTTATCTAACATAACGGATCAGACTTCAACTATTCCTTAAATATCAATTCAATTTTGAAGAAACAAACTTATATCTTAAGAACTAGTCGACAATAAGGTACGATAAAAACCACAACAATGGTAAGACCTAAAGAAAGTAGTGACAAGAATATGAAATATGAGAATTAAAGTAATTAATAGAAACGAGTGTAAGTCAAATAAATGATATAATGTTATATTACAAATGGAACTGTTGTATAGCTTGCTTTAATGATAGTAAGAACTTAAATTACCCTATTGGTGCGATTATAATGCGATTTTCTTTGATTAATAATTACGCTGTAAAATATATAGTCGCATTATAATCACAGCCGACCACACACACCTTCCTCCTACTCTAGCCTGTCGCATTACCGAATGTTCAGCTAGCATCCGTCTACGCATGTGCGCCAGATTTTCGCTCAAGGTCATCGCTAATTCTTGCAAATAATCCACCTGCAGACATTTCAGTTATAGTATTGATTTTACAGACCTAAAAAAAGAACGTTATGACACTCATTTATTTTCCCATGGTTTCTGAAAATGGAGGTCGCCTTATATTTGAGATCGTCCTATAAGCGGGACAATACGGTAATAATAATTTCCTTGCCATACGTTATTACCTTTAGCAGTAGTTAAAAGATTAAGGAGTCGAAAGGAGAGTTTTGAAAAGGTTCATGATTTTTTTTGTAAAATTATTAATCCGAAACCTTAAACCAAATAAATCTGGTATTCAAAATATATTAGGATAAATCTCATTTGTGAAAAATTATATTTTATGAAACATTTCCACTAAACCTTGTAATGCTGAACATGTTTTTTATTCGTTTTTTTAGAGCTACTGAAATACGAGTAATCATCATTGTAACATAAATTATTTGGAGAATTTTGTATTCGTAAACGAAAAGTGTGCAGCTTCAAAATTAAAAGCATTTTATTGAAAATTGGGAAAGTCAGCATTTGATTAATTACAATCAGATAATATGTTTTATTGAAAGTGAAATCTCTTTTTTTATATTTATTTTCATATCCAGTTCTGGTGGATAAATGTGTTTGGCAGTATGAAGAAAACCTTGAAAATTCGATAAAAGAATATCATCATTATAACTGGAAGTGTGACTGATGTGCAAAACTTTGTTATAGTCTTTCTTACCAATATTTGTGCTATACGAAAACCTAAGTTTGACTACAATCCATATAAATCTGTAACTTGTGGGATGAGGTTACAATCCACATATATTTTATGTTTGTATTAAGAATCGATTAACAACGTTTCGTTTTAAGAATAAATTAATAATGTTTCGTATTAAGAATCGACTGACAATGTCTGAGTCGATTGACATTAGTTCGAGTTAAGAATTGATGGAAAATATTTTGGTCCTAAGAAATGATTGAGAATGTTTTGTTATCAAGAAGCGACTGAGGGTGATTTGGTACTAATAATGGACTGAGGATGTTACGTTACTAAGAATCAACTGAAAGTGTTTTAGTACTTAAAATCGGTTGAAGATGTTTTGGTACTAAGATTGACTGAGAATTTTTTGGTATTAAGAATCTACTGAGGGTGTTTTAGTATTAAGAATCGGTTAAGGATGTTTTGTTATCAAGAATCGATCGAGGGTGTTTTTGTACTAAAAATCGACTGAGGGTGTTTTGGTATGAAGAATGGATTGAGAATATTTTGGTACTAAGAATAGATGGAGGGTGTTTTGGTACTAAGAATGGGTTTAAGATGTTATTTCACCGAGCATTTGAAAGAAAGCAAAGAAACATTGAGAATATTCAAGGAATTTATATTTTTTATGACGTATACAACTTTAGTACAGAACTAGGTTTGTTTTTACAGAAGCACGTGGAACTCTTGTTTGTTTACTTTTACTTTTTAAGTCAGTATGTCTTTTTTAATACCCTTTGATAAGCCTAACGACTCAAAAACATCACCGTCGTTGAAAAAGTTGTAAAATTAGTTTTTAATAATTTCATTTTAACAGTTTTATAAAAATCAAAAGCTCCTACTAAGTTAACTAAATATGTGGAATAAAACCACCATATACTGAGATAGCTTACAAAATATGCAATAACCAATCAGGTTTGACTTTTAAGTGTATGATAAAACTGTCAGTAACATCAAAGTTACTGTCAGCAACCATTGAAACTGACAATGAGACTCGAGTATGAAGCTATGCCTCATGGAGAAGCAGAGGTAATCCTTTGAAAATTTGGACTGAAGTATTCACTGTTTCAAAGTAGAAGAAATTAAGCGAAACACTAAAGTTAAAATTTGCTGTAGAAGTATATTTCATTGCTATCTTACACAGTGCCCTACTACTGGGTGATATTCAATACTAAATATAAGCATTTTTTATTTTTTATTTCAGCCTTGAGTAACTGCCCTCCGAACTAAAGCAAAAACATTCAGTGACATGCTACTTTTCCAGAAAGCAAAGTCATTCCTTATGGCACTCCACTTTTCCAGAAAACTAAAGCAAAACCATTTCTTTTGGTACTCCACTTTTTCAGAAAGCAAAAACCATTTCTTATGGAAGTTCATTTTTCCAGAAAAATTAAGCAAAACCATTCCTTATGACACTTCATTTTCCAGAAAACAAAACTATTCCTTATGACACCTCATTTTCCAGAAAACAAAACCATTCCTTATGACACCTCATTTTCCAGAAAACAAAACCATTCCTTATGACACTCCAGTTTACCAGAAATCTATTTTACAGCTCATCTACAACCAAACACTACTTTTATTCAGTAAAAATCATCAGTAAAACATAATTTATAATAACACAACGTTACTTTGAAGCGTACAAAAAAATTAGACTAAAGATAATAGATCCAAGAATCATGATACTAATATTGTCTAAATCAAAAACCCTTTTTTACTGCCATTGTTTGGTGGTTTATCGATCAATGATATAATTTTGCTATCTTTTTTTCAACGAATAAGCAACAAAACCAATAACTTTATCTTCATCAATCACTGATGCCATAAGAAAGATACGAGTAAAAACAAAATTCTGTTTCCGTTCTTTACTCTTTAAATAAGCTGTCACATTGTCCCCTACTTTGTCACCAGAGGTAGCGCTTCATATGCACGTGGTTAGAATTTCCCTCCCCTTTTTTAATTGTTTTTCAGTTGACTTCAGAATCGCAGAATTTCTGCAGGACTTGGATAAGTCAGCCTAGAATTATTTTAACAATTGTCTTACGTGAAGTTGCTAAAACACAGAAATGATACGGCGTAGTTATCATTAAGGAAACGGCGGGTGGCCTCAAACAGCTTGAACACGTGGCAACTAGCGGTAATGTCGATTACGCTAGGAACTTAGCCAGTTTTGTGAGTCCAAGGTTACACGCTGCAACCACCTGATCAATACAATGCTAGTCTCTGTTTGCGACAGTGAAGCTTACATGCTAGTCCTTGCTTCTGTCTGACAAAATGTTTAGATAAGCAAGTGAATCAGTAACAATGAGAAGAACACTGTCCCTGAGCATATTAGAATGATGTTACAAATACTCGAGAACTATCAAAAAATGAAATCATGATCACAACAAACAAACAAACAAGCGATGTTACAGGATATGAACAGAAGAAGCTACATGTCCTTACCCTAAAAAAACACACACAAAAACAACTGTAATAAACCAGCTTTTTTTTATCTTCACTTGCGTCATAAAGTGAAGGTTAATCCCACTTTTCATTGGTAAGAGAGTAGTCCAAGAGTTGGCGATGGGTGGTGTTGACTAGCTGCCTTTCTTCTAGTCTATCATTTCAAAATCAGGGGTGGCTGGCGCGGAAAGCCTTAGAGTAGCTAACTGCGAAATTCCAAAAACAAACAAACAAAGCATCTTTGCTTATTGCACGTCAAAACGAGTGCTCTATGGACTGAATTATGGGAATTTACCCCCTAGTTTCAACCAGTAAGGGATTTTGTTTTTTTATAGTAGACTATAAAACAAGAAAATAAATCACAATTTTAAACAATTAATATTTCCCGATCATCTGCAATTCACGCTGAGAAAAGCTTACAACCCGATAACGACATCCCCTCCTTCTGGTTTAGGAAGTAGATAAATTGCCAGTCTTCCAAGTACAACAGTTTACTGTACTCACTTTGTGTTGTTACACACAATATCTATGATATTGACTGTCACCATTTTTGTAGGCTTAACAGTATTTAACAGTGCTGTTTTACATCAACATTGTTTTTCAGACTCAAATGTATACTTGAATGAATTATTGTAACCAGCCAGTCTTATTTATGCATGAAGGAGTCTCTGCGCCGGAAAGCAACGGTACATGTGTATTGTGTTTTTATATTTTTTTAATATAGCACTCCCCTACTCCCACTGCTAGGTGTAGTCAAGTACATATAGAAGTCTTTCACGTGACGTCACAAAAGGTTTTTTCATTCAACGCCACCATATTGGACGTCAAACATTCCCTTCCTGCAATAAACAGTAATCCATATCAATACAAAAATTGATAAAGTGTTATATGCTTTTAGTGGCGTAAACATCACCTTTGGCAAAATATACGGATCTCGAACTCTAGGGCCATTCAGTTTTGTTTTTTTTTGTACGTGTCTTTCTTTGTGCACATAGCTGAGATGATTTACAGGGTCAGATTACACAATATTGGAAGATATCATTTTTCACCCAAGATGAATGTCAGCATTTGACGTCCAAAACGATTAAGTAAATTATAGACCAGGTGACTATTTTGACGTCATTGTAAAGCAGAGTTGTCCATCTGTCTGTCTGTGTCCAAACTTGTTGTGAGTAACTGGCTGAACCAACTTAGATTAATTTTTGTAGAGGAACTTAGAAAATAGATATAATAGAGTTTAACCGGAAAACAGGTGCATGAACAGTTTGGCAGCCATTTCAATTTTACACTCTTAAAGCCACAAATGAAGAAGTAACTGAGGTCGGTAGCAAAATACGTAAAGCCGACGCTAAACGAAAGCTGCTTTTAATACCGCCCATATCACGAGTACCTTTCTATAGGACAACTGATTCGCGTGCTACGGTTCAAGATAATTGAAGGTGGCGGCCCTCTTCTCCATTTATAATATTACATTTTAATCTGACATTGCAGGGCACCAGCTACAAACTGAAAATTCTCTGGATATATTTGCATCAATTCAAGTTCCAACTAAACAACTTTATATATTTTAATCTGCTAACAAATAGTTTTCTATGGCATCATTTATGCGAACAGCTAAGACTAAGCGTTGCAATTTTGCGTACAGCTAAGCCTAAGCGTTGTTTTCTGACATATGACATTACTTCGATATATCTTCCTCACTTTCTTGTTCGTGTTGTCCACCGTTGTACAATAATGACCTCAAGTTAGTCTTGTGAATTTAAAAAAAAAAGTCCAGTTTCAAAGTGGCTGATCCGTAACATGTCAAACACTA